ATTGGTGACAGTCATTTTCGTTCAAATAGAGATCAACATCTTACAAAATTTATCAACGATATCAATAAGGATTTTCCAAATTTATCAAATTTTCAACAAACTTCGTATTCAAATTACTCATGTCAACCCCAATCTCATTTCAACAGTTCAATTCCAAATTTGTTTGTTGCTAGTGATGTCACTAAAAACAGTAAATTGATTATCCCCTTTATTAAAGTCTTCCCCTGTTTATATATGCTTTCGGATTTTTATCCTTTCCTTGAACCTTATAGAACACTTAAGAATCCAATAGACAATAAAATATTGTATAAATTTTTATTACCTTTAACTGATCTTATGGTGGCTGCAAGAGCTTCAAATATTTACTCTGTGCATGCTAGTACATTTGGTCGTTACTTAAATACATACCATCATTTTTTAGATAGAAACATAGTAATAGATTGAAAATTATGTAAATTATGTATAGAATTCGAAATTCAAAAAAAATAAAAATTTTCATCAAATGAATTGATTAATGTAATTTTGTATAATCAAGTAACTAGAGACATGGCAACAAAAATTGTATTATAAAAAAATCATTTTATTTGTCGTAAATTGATATACGCCTGTTAACCAAACTTAGAAATTACTTTATCAATATATAAGTCTCTAATGGTAATAGTAACCTACATCAGTTGCACGTGCTTAAAAATGATCTATTGAGGTTGACAGACAATAGTAATAATAAGGGTAGTTAGAGGCCAAACGCCAAATAAACCTCCTGAGTTTCATGAATTGGGTGACACGGGGTCCGCAAACAAAAATTCATATTTGTTATATTGACCCAGACCAAATTTGCAATAACATTAGAAAAAGAACATAATTTGACTCATAATATATATTAACATTAAAAATTTTGAAGCTATCTACTGTATATAACAAAATTAAATTTTACCAATCAATTGATTTAACTTATCACAACTAATTATAATTTACTATAAAGTATATATTGATTTTGTTTTTGAATGAGTACGTAAGAAAAAATTTGTTACACGAAATTTGATTCCCTAATAAATCATTGACTAAATTGATGATGTTTTCATCTTTATTTGTTGTTAAAAAATCCCTTAATCAACAATTCACTGAAACCATCTATTGCTTTCTGTATGTTGTAGTGTCAGATATACTATTGTTAGTTGCAGTGAATGCTTTAATGAGAAATTAGAAATGAATAATTTATTTTTTTAATGAATGAATATTTTTTGATAATTGAATAAATATATGTATGAACTATATTATATAATAAGTAAATTTTACAAAAAATGCTTATTCAAAAATAATTTACCAAAAAAAAAAAAGATTCAAAAATGATTACATTTTTTATATGATCAAAGTAAACTATAAACGCTACAGTAAAAAAGTAATCGGACAGATTTCTTTTGTTGAAAAGATTTTTTGTATCACGAAAAGTTTTGAAGTTGATCATCGTCCTTTTAGGAAATCATAAGGGAAGATCATTCCGAAATTTTATATATATAGACATATAATGGTCCAACTTTGAAGCCTTGTAACTCAAAACTTCTCTAATAAAAAGAAAAAGGTAAACTGATGGAAATGAAGCTTAGTCTTTAGCTTTAAATTTTTTTTTAATAAGGAGTTATAAGTTTTAAAGTCATGCGATAATCATTGACCATTATAGATGTCCTGCCTGCACTATTAATATCTTTTTTTTTTCTTTATATTTGTACCAATGATAACAACATGATACAACGCAAGCCATTCTCGTGAAACATCAAAACCCCTTTATCAAAACAAAAACAAAAAATTCGACCAAAATATCAATTGACGTTGCACCGGTTTAATTTTGTTGTTTCTCATGTTAATAATTTGACCCTGACTTGGGGTGGGATTGGACTATACTTTGGGCAGCAAGTATAATAATAAACTCTACCAACAAATCAATGGTAAACTATATTAACAAAGCAAGAATAATTGTATATCATAAACTACCACTATTAATTATAATAATATTATAAAAATTATAGAAATAATAATAGTTTTATTTTAACTATAGAGGAAATTGGTATTTATTAAAAAGAATAATTTATCCCTTCTCCATGAGTAATATCATGGCATAATAGATGAATTTAAAAACATAATGCGAATTTACTTCATTAAGGAATAATTTAAAAATTAAATCTTTGTTTTGACCAAAAAAAAACAATCTAAAATCTTAAACCAGAATTTGTAGACGGATTTCCCATTTATTATATGATAAAAAATTTCTGAAATTGGAACCTTATATTAAGAATGTTTGCTTCCTAATCAAGATGGAATAAAAAATATTGAGATATTTAAAATTATTTTTTTTATATTTTTAACTATTCTCGCTCGTGCTCATTCATTCATTAAAATTCAATCCCTTGGAAATTCTCTCGTTTAAAGAAAAATCGAATAAATCAACGAGTACAATGTGTCCAGAACCTGTTAACAATTCTAAAATATCTAGAAAAAAGGTATTATCAACAACACGAAAAGGCAATAACATTAATAATAATAATAATAATAATAGTAATAGTAATAGTAATAGTAATAATAATAATAGCAATAGTAATAGTAATGCTATTATTATCTCGTGTCGTCGGAAATCCTTCAAATCTTCTTTATCAATAGCGGCAGCAAATAATAATGGCAATAATGGTGATGGTAGTGATAGAAATAACAATAGTAAGAATAATAATAATAGGAGGAATAATAATAATGGTACAATAACAATCATTAGAAAAACCTCCAACACCAAAAGATTGTTACCGGCACCAACAATTATTATTTCCCCATCTTTGGCGACGGCGATGACGACGACGAAATCAACAAAAATAATAATACCAGTATATTTTCTACCAACAATAATTAATCGTTCCTTAAACATTTTATTAAAAAGATTTTTAGAAATCTTATCATCTTCTTTATTAATTAACAAAAATTATCAAAAATCCTCCACCCTCACCCCCACTTCCACGACCAACCACAACCACAACCAACATTATCATCAATCAATAATACAATATAGTACGTTACTAATCGAACTAGTAATTGACAAAATCTTACCTTCTATTTTACCTATTTTTTTATCACAGAGAATCGGCGGCCGTATTTTTTTTTCAAAATTGTTGATTTTATTATTTACAAAACATGTAATAAAAAATTCTAAAATTGCACCCAAACATCGATGGCTTTGTAGCAAAAATGGAATTTTAAAATCAAATTTTAAAAAGAAAAATCAATTCGTCGTCGTCGTTAATAAAAAATCAACATTAACATCATCAATAAAACCATCATCATCAACAACATCATCATCAGCAACAACAACATCATCATCAGCAACAACAACAACATCATCAAAATCAACTCGATCATTACCATCACCACCATTATTTTCCGTGAAATTTAATGATGAACCGCCAAAACTTCATATATTTAATAAATCTTTCAAAGAACAAATCCCTGTTCTACAAGTTGCCGGCCCAAGTAAAGGCAAATATAGTAGAGCAGAATTGGACGAACATAAAAAATTTATGCTGACGAAGATTCGTATTGCTGTTCGAAAGAAAAAATGGAAAAGTGTAAAGAGATTGATTAGGATTGCTTTTAAAACTTGTACATATTAATAAAAACAATAGGAAAATTATTTTATTTGGTTCATTTATTAAACAATTTTTAATGATAAAAAAGCAAAAAACCAATTTTCATATACATATAATAAATTTTTGTTTAGTTATATGTAAAAATACTAATATTAATTAAAATCTATGTAAAATATTAATAAAGGATAATAATTAAACCGATTATTTGGTGAAAGCTCCATAATTTTTTATAAAATAAGTTAATTTTATCAAGAATATTCAGGTTTCAACGTGAAATAATCTTCTTTGTGAACAAAATTAGCAACTTTTCTTGTGAGCGAGACAAGAATTTCTTTATTTCTATTGTCTTTCTCAATTTTTTTCTTAAAGGCTCTAATAATGCCTTCAATGTTTACCTTTTTTGTTCTAATTAAGACACATATTTCTTTTTCTGTAATCAAATTAGAATCGGAACTACTACTGCCAGCAGCAGGTTTTGATTTTTTCTCTGTGCTACTACCACTACTTGCACTATTATCAGGTGTTGATGTTGATGTTGATAGTTTTGGTTGTTTTGTTTTTGATGCGGAACTTTTTAATGTAGTAGATGACGATGACGGTGAACCAATGATTGCAGTTGAAGAATCAGATTTCGATTCAGTCTTAATAGTTACAGATTTGGTACTTGCTTTTGGTTTAGATGTGGTGGTGGAATTTGGTGTTGCAGGAGCTGATGAAGATGGCGTGGATGATGCTGTACCTTTTTTAGCTGAAGTTAGAGATTTATTCTTTGGTTTATCAGCAGCTGTTGTCGCAGCTGTTGCTTTGGATTTAGTGGTGGTTGATGATGAGCTTGAAGTTTTATTAGTTGTTGCTGTTGCTTTTGTTTTTGTTTGAGCTGACTTCGCACCACTTTTGGTTGTGCTTTTTCCTTTTTCCGATTTAGGCGGCGAGATTAATTTTGCAGAATTAAGACTAGATGGCAATGATTGAGAATTTTGACTTTCCTCCTCGTCGTCTGTTCCATCGAGTTCAACTGAACTTGCATAAGGATCTGATTCTTTATCACTGTCATCATATGCAACATTTTTTTCCAATGTTCTCACAAGTTTCTTGAGATTTTTTCCTTCAGCTGTTAATTTGTTTCTCTCCTTGTCTTCCTCAAATTCTTCCTCGGCAGTACCACTAAAGAATTTGGTTTTAACCAACACCGGATCTTTGACATCCTCTGGGTTTTGTAAATCAAGATTATCTTCTTCATCGTCTTCAAACACTTGTTCATAGTCCATCTCTTCGAATTCATCCTCATATTTACCATGAAATTTAGATTCTCCTTCATCATCTGATCTTATCAAGTCTGTTTCATTTTCTACAGCTTTAAGATTAGACTTATTGTCATAAATTCCACCTTCCTTCTCTGCCATTTCTCTTTCTTTATCGTTTTTACCAGATCTTCTCATGAACCATCTATCATTTTCACGTTTTTTTGCTTTTCCCATCTAAATATTAATAAATTAATTATCTGTTTACTTTGTTTATAAAAGGAAACACTCCATCATCATCGTTATGATATACTTACAATTTCCTCTGCTTCTTCAAT